CCAAATTCACTGTATCACTCCATGCCCAGCCAAAGGGAAGAAAAAGCCATTCTGTTAGAGTAAAATTTCATTTCCTTACCAGCATACAGTGTTGTTTTCTTCTTGAGGGAGGGAGGGGGGGAGTATCTGTTCATAGTGTGGAATTACAGTGTGATATTTTTATGGGTTCATCCAATATAGCAAGGCAGTGACTTCTGTTATTGAAATTTTGATTACGATTACAGTTGTGTGCGTGCATCTCCCCAAAGACAGCAGTCTGATAGCAGGCGGGGAGGGGAAGAGTGCGATTATTTATTTATTTATTTATTGCATATAAATGAAACCATAATGGCGGCTCCTGTTCAACCAGCAAAGAGCCCACGAACATTTCTTGGTGTCCATAACCCGTCCTGTAAAACAGCTACACACTGGCCACCCGATAACCACAGCGAGTGATTGACTTCGCCCGACGGCGACCCTCCTCCTCCTCACTTGTAGCCCGTGTTTCTCCCCCTTCGCTGCAACACAGGATTTTAAAAGGTAGAACACAATCAACCTGTGTACATAGCACCGGCCTGCACGCCGCGCATCGCTATCTCATTGTGTCTGGCAATTGTGCTAATGACATTTCACAAGATTAGCTTTTCAATGCGGTATTGTTATTGACCAGCTCGGTGTGTTTGTGGGAGCCCATTGCTCCATGTAAGGCCCTCCTGAAGCACTCCTCCTCTCCTCCTCTTTTCCCTTCTTTTGCAAAAGCCGCTTTGCTCTCGCTACACCAGTTTTTTTTTTTGTGTGTGTTTTTTCCACCCAGACCTGTTATTAAATCTCGTAGCAGTTAGTTGATTTGATCAGTGTGTGCTGTAATGTTGTTTACCCCCAATGGGATCTGGGCGTTACAGACATACTCATCCCTCTCTCTCTCTGTCGCTCTCTTTTGCTCTTTCCTGCAGTTTCTCCCCAAGTCGAGCAACGAAGTAATTTCTCTCAGCTGGATCGAAGTCCTGTATCTTTAGGTTAATGAATGCCGGGCCCATATTAGAAGCACAATAGGTACAAAGTGCCGGAGCTTATGCAGCATGTCCGTGCTGGTGGTTTCGCCTGGTGTCCGACTCTGTGTTTTTATAGGATTGAACCGGTGCAATAACTCTCACAGACGAGGGCTGGCTCGAACAAAATGCCAAGGCAAACACAAAGCCATGAGCAAACGCTTTTCTGTTTATTTGGATGTGGATGTTGTGGATAACTCAAAGCAATCAAAGCCCAGAGCCCCGGATCACCACAAGGCTCCTCCTATATGTACTCATAGCAGATGGTAGCCAGTGGCAAGAGGTTCTGGTAAGCACAATAATGCTGCAAGCTATTGCAGGATGGTAGAGCGCACATAGTGACAGATGTCAGTGTTCGCCGTGTCCGAGAAAACCTACGCCGAGCAGAATATGACCGCAGCGTCCGCCGCCCAGGCGAGGAGGACGGTGTATGTTCGGGCCTGATTCGTCTCGATTTTTATCTTCCTTCCTCTCTTCGACTCGATTCTGACATGTCTGCAACACTCAGAGGTTCAGGAAGGGTGGGGGGGATGTTTCTCCTTTTGCTGTGTGTGCCTGAGGAGCAGATGGATAGCTGCTTCAAATTCAGATTGCATGTTTTGCAGTACAGCAGTGAGCATAATATGCAGAGTTCCTGTTAAATATAGAGCAAGTTCAGTGATGCACGTTTTAATAGCAATGTTCCAAGCTGTTAATGCATTATGCGCCTCTGCAGAAGCTGACCTGTTATGTGTTAGACCTGAAATAATAGTTGATAAACTGATTATTCGGTCCAGAAAACCGAATAACTGCTTGTGAGTTTATGAGGTTTTGAATTTAAAATCTACAGATTTCCAGTTTTTGTTTTCTTTAGAGTTGCCTCAGTGTCTCAGGTATGAGAAACATTGCTTTGATCAGCCCGTGTAGTTAAAAGTACTCTCGACTCAGGTCTTTTATTGACCCAAAAAAACGAGTTCGTTTACATAAATGTGCTGTAACATTAAGAGCAACCGGATCTCCCACGAGAGCACCAGAATCCCGGACCAAAATAACCTAATGTGTTGGCCAAGGCTCCACCCCCTGTGGAGTTGCAACCATTACCCCTCACTCGAATTGCAAAATGTGCTGAACGTCTCTCTAATTTTATTTATTTTTATTTAACCTTTATTTAACCAGGATAATGTGACTCTCACCTGCTACTGTAAGCCTGCACAGACATGTCTGGACTGCACTCTACTACACCGCCCTCTGCCATCACTCTTGGGGGAGGTCACCGTTTTATTTTCATTAATAAATCCATTAAGGGGCCGGCACTTTTAAATGCAGCGCTCTCAGGAATTAGCACGTATGTGCAGCTGCACCGGCTATCAAAACATAGAACGAAGGACGTCGAGTTACAACTCAAAGTGTGACTTTATACTTCACCGTCTTGATGTTTGAGGCTATAATAACATACGAGCCCACCCACCAAAATAGTAACAATAACAACAAGAAAAAAAGATTCACGACTTGTTAAGATCATCGCTCGTGTTTCCGTTTACTTATGTGTGCAGATTTGTGTGCATAGGTGTCAGCAGGTGTTTGTTTCTAAAGCGCCACATTGCACGTCCGCATGCACGGATGTTGCATGCGGACGTACGGAAAACGCTCCCCGGCCAGCTCGACAACAAACACAGAATGGCTTGGCACGACTCTGGAATTATTTATCTGGCTTCCCTCCTCTTCTCCAGCATGGTTTTTGTCAAGTCAGAGGAAACCATCTGCTGCCCGGTGATAATGGGTGGCCAGGGAGGAGGGGACTGGAAATAGGGAGAGCAAATAAAATTGAGAGAAAATGGCAGGCGCTGTCCCAGAACCTACAGTACCTTCCTGCCTGCCTGCAGCAAGTCTGCCATCTTAATAAACATCCCTCCTGATATCTCCTGGCTTCTGTGTGTGTGTGCGCTTGTATTTCCACCTGCTGTGTGTACATACACACCTGTGTTTCCGCTGTGTCTGCGTGTGTGTGTGTGTATTTCCTATCTAACCTTGATCATTTTGAAGTCAGGATTGTTCCTGAGTCTAGCTGATATGCTGTCAATGTGATGGCGCTGACTAAGAACCTTTTTCCCCTCCTCTCTCTTTTACCTGGTGCACTAAAACCGTGACAGATGGATTGCTTTTCACTAGAAGAGATCTTTCCTGTTTCCTGTTTTGTTTTTTTTCGTTTTTTGCCTTCTGTTTTGGATAAATGTACGGGGCGTATTAATGAGAGAACGCCACGAGTTAGGTGCAGGGCTAAAAGAATGTAAGAGAGTCAATACTGCGAGTTAATGAGGAGTTGCCTGTATAGAGGGGAAAGTAAAGCATGGCTGGAGAGGAGTACAGTGAAACACACAGAGCAGAGGAGGAAAAAATGCTCATTAAAATAAATAGCGGGCCACAGAAAGCACAGGGAAAGTCCACACCTTGAAAATGGTCGGCATTGTCTATTTCCCAAAGTCTCCAGGGCTCTCGGATGGAATCGAGCGCTTAGGGCATCCTCTGAGTAAACCATTTCAGTTTTCTCTTGTCTGAAGTCGACAGGTTGAGATGGACAGAAAGACCTGACAGCCTGCCTCCCCCCTAAACCCGCCTCCATCCTCTCACTCCATCACACTGTTTTCTATTTTGCCTTGAGACGTTTCCTCTGTTTTTCCCTCCTTTCCTCCTCCCCTCCAAACACATACGAACTGTCAGCTAACTTTCAGTATAGATTTATCAAGTAAGTGACGCTCATTGAACCTGTCTGCTATTGTGCAGCTGTTTATGAGACAGCAGATGGTGGCGCTGCGTCAATACAGAGTAATATCTTGGTGTTAAAGGTCCTGCAAAGCTGAGATAAATCCATATTCAAGCAAAAGAGGGACATTTTCCAGGAATGGGATCGATCCAGTATGTAAAGCTGCGCATTAATTCACCGCGGGAAGAATTGTTTGGATTGCTTTTTTTTTCTTTTTTTGGGTCTTTGTGCGGTCAGTCCGCGCTCTGCCGGGCTTTGTCGACACAGCTGTTGGAATGCATGATGGCGTGCTTGATGAAGTGGACGCCGGGTCAGGGGGGGATAATGGAATTGAGGGATGGAGAAAGAGGGATGGAGGGATCAGCCGGGCCACAGGAGGGGCCTGGTGACCAGGTCTTTTCTATTAACTCTGGTGTGAGCAGGGCGGGGAGGGAGGCCCCCTGTCTCCCCGCCTGGTTGTTAGAGTGTGCGTCCAAAACTGGAGATAGGGGAGGCGAATATTGCTCAGAGGTCCAGTGGTGATTGACCCTGTGTTTTCATCAGCCTGCGCTTGCCTGATAACATTTCTTACTGCCCGACAAGAGCAAAATATTACAGACGTGGGTGTAAAGGGAGGCTCGGGGAACTCTTAGTTTGGTTTGGTGAAGTTTGATTCGCCCACCCAGCGCACACATTGTAAGCTAGCTTTTCATTTTCTTTTTTGGAATTACATTTTTCTTGTCTCCCGTCGCCGAGAAAAAGATTTCTCTCTTATTGAATCTATTTGTCATGTTTTGGTTCACAATTTTATTATCTCACTTGAATGAACAAAAATGTTAATAATTCAACACGGAGGACGATAAAGAAAATTTCCAGGGGAGAATTTGAACGTAGCCCACGCCTGAAAGTTTAATTGTTATTGGTAAACAACAAGAGAAACATTGCTAAGATTCTTGAGGCCCTGAACAGGATTTTTTCCGCCCTTTGTTCCTGTTATATAGTCTGTAATCATCACTCACTCACAGCTAATTATACACCTCTCTACCATCATCACGGCTCACTTCAAGACCTTAAAGAACAGTTGAGATTGCTGTCATTTGTCACTTTTTCTTGTCACATCATAAAGGAACAGGTGTTTTTTTTATATAAACATGCTTAGTGAAGGATGTGACACATTTTTCCTTTTTTTTCCTGTTTTTCTTCTCTCCCTCCTCCCATATAATCCTGTATAACCTCTGTTGTTTGTGCTGCAGGTCTCCGGACTGTCTCCCGGAGACAGCCAGGCCCCGGGACTGCTGCTGGCTCCAGGTGTGAGGTGGGGACAGACCCCTATAAACCAGCTCACACCGTGGGATACAGATGAGCCCCCTGCTAAGCAACATCGAGATGCCGAGCCCACCGGTAATGAATCACACGCACAGCGTTCACAAACGCACGCACATGTAACAGGGATGAAGCCAATTTTGAGAATTGTATTTTTTTATGAATATTTTTTCATACATATTTTTTCATACATGCATATTTAAAGAAAATAGGAAAGGTAAAAGGTTTTGTGCTGATGTCACCAAATGATGAGAAGCTGCAGACTGAAAAAGGAGCAGCCTGATTCAAATCCAGGGTATTTTTATTCAATTACGCTCGTCTTTTCACTCGCGCCGGCTTGTCGACGTTGTCTAATACAACATTATTTGCGCCTTTGTGTTCCCGATGGACCTGCAATATGTGAGGCTGTATGCCTGACCCCGGAGGAGGAGATTTAGCTAGTCCACTTACACACCGTGCTCCGGACTCTTCCTGTGTGTCACATGGTAGCAGATCTCGCTGTAGGAGTAGAGTGCTATGAAAGGGGCAGTTGACCTCATAATCAAATGTATATATTGTTCCCTCTGGCTGTAGAGCTGTTTATCCATCCAGTTTCTTTTGGTGTTGCTCAGTATTGAAGATCAATGCCCTGGAGATGTTTGCCTTCTTTGGAAGAGAACGGAACTAAATGGCAGGCGGTGCTGGAAGCAAGAAAATAACAAAATATGCAGCAATGCCTCTTTCAAGAAGTGATGAGGGTTATTCCATGGAGGAAATATATTCTCTTCTACTAATCTACAGCCGCCATGACAGTATGTATCTACACCTGATGAGAAGCGTGTGCCAATAAGAGGGACAAGACTTAAGCGCTGAGCTGTAATGCTAGCTAGCTTTGGTTCGTGGGTGCAGTTTGAAAGATGATTTTACTTAAAGCCATTTGGCCTGTTTGATGTTAAAGGGTTAGGAAAACCTCAGGAAGTAGAAAAATGCTGAAAAAGCACATAAAACACAGCAGAAGTGCTTTTGAGGAGACAAAATTGTGACGGAGCAGAACATGTGAAGCATCGCTCTGAGCCGCCCTCAAAAGAAGTGGGAGAAAAATATGCAGGTAGTGTTTGTTTTAATCCCGTGATTCCTGTAATATTATAGATACAAGTTTACTGCTAGCATGTCATTTCACCAGCTGTTCTGTGACATCATCGTCTCTCCAAAAGCATTTCCGCTGTGTTTCGTGTGCTTTTAAAGCATTTTTCTGCTTGCTGGTGTTTTCCTGTCTTAAGTTGCGTTGGGTCTGACCCGTCAGAGCCGCTGTAGTCTGTGCTTAAATCATATAACAGTTAATAATTGTTACTATGCTAACAATTAGAATTAGACCTTTGCCTGCTTTCACTTGAATACAAATAATGCTTCAGCAAATTGAGGCATAAATCCAGGCCCCGTGTTCTCTGTGCAGCCCCAAAATGAGCTTACAGAGCTGTACATTACATGTGAGCGCACAGCAGGATGCATACTCACACACACACACACACACACACTCTACACTTGTGCTTCGCATCTAGATGCTCTGGCCAGTTAAAGTAGCATCCAATGCTAATAAGCCATCTTGACTTTTGTTGCCCTAAATAAACCCACTCGCCTCTGCAATATGTTTGCTTTACATACACAATCATGCATAATGTTCATTCATAAACATGAACTTTACATAAACATAAACCAGCTCAATTAGGCATATAATTATAGAAATGTCAGTTTGCATCAGGGATGCGGCGAGCAGGGTCGGCTGCATCCCCTCACCCACATTCCAGACTCCCACCATCCTCCTGTGCCGTCATTTTATCACCCTCGTTACTGTGTCACTAATCGGGGCTGATTTGGCCTCAATCAAACTGATATAGCAAAACTGCGAAAGTCCTCCAAATGATCTCCAGCAGGTCTAATTTAGATGTCGACCTTATTCTGTTCACGCCACTTTAAGACGTGTACGGAGCGGCAGCGCGGCGGCACAGCGCCGACAGTAACGAGTCGAGCCAATGCTGAAGGTTTTTTTACTCCTATTGTAATGAACTCACCCAGAATGGCTCTGCCCTAGAGCTGTTAATTTCCTTCCATTGCTCTGTTGGCCCGTGCGCTTCCTGCTCATCACAAATGTGTCTCATTTAAGAGTAATACTGGCCCGGTGAGCGCGCCGGTGGAAATTCTGGCTCGACAAATCCAGATTACAAACAGCTGTGACTCTGTGGTGGCTAAGTATCATGTTCAAAACATGTTGCAACCCCTGCTGCTGCCTGTTCAGTTCCCCTCCTAATTATAATTTGCGTGGTCTGCGGATTAATTATTAAACAGCCGATCAGTTACTCGAGGAATGTTTCTTTAGCAGAAGCCTGCTCGCTGCAGGAGCGATGCAGTTGCACTAGGACGGCGTGGAGCTTTTGTGCTCCGTCGCCACAGCAGCTCCCCCACACCCACAACCACAGCTTGGAGTTGAAGCGTGAGGAGAGTGAGATGTCACCAGCACCGGCACGCTGTCGCATATGACGCTCCAATTCAAGCATAGTGTTGCATATTGATTCACGTGCGCGCGCTATTCCAAGCTGTGACTGGCGTTTGCAACGAAGCCAGCTCCTCTCCACACTTCACTGAACTGTGTTGCCAGAGAGCTCTCTGCCAACTGTGCCAGAATTAATCAACGGTTTCTTTCAACAGAAACTTCACTGTTCTGTCTGTTAAAGAAAGTTTGCCTTTGAAAAAGAAGTTTTGTTTCAACTTTCGCTTCTTTGTACAAAAATAGTCGTGTTTTTATTTTTTTTAACGTCAGTCTTGCACTCGAGCAAATTGCTCTGCAAATAAATGAATAATAAGCGGAGTTCAACGGTTAAATCTGAGGAATAAGACGAAAATTAGAGACGCGGATTCTTCGTTTTTGTTAAACCTCGCAGGTGAGCGCTATAAATTTAGGTAGTTGTCGGGTCACGATGGCAAAATTCTTTTCATCAAATATTTTTTTCTCTTAAAAGACTGAAAGAAAAGTCAACAAAGAACTGCAGGGCAGATGGAAAATGTGCGTATGTTCCAGTCAACACCATCGCTCCTTTAAAACCTTGAGCCTTCGCAGCATGCGCAACCATTATACCAACACTTTTGATTACCATCCCTTATCAAGATGGGCTTCAAAAGAGGGGAAATGAAAATGCAGCGTTGGTGCCGATTGGCTCAATGACGTGAATCACGAACTGGACTGACCTCTCCTTTTATTCCCCATGTCTGTCTTTATCTGTCTTTCCCTCTCTCTCCATCCATCTCCGCCCGGACTATTGCAGGGCTAGTACCATGAATAATGCTGGCTTCTTCTTCTTCTTCTTTTTTTGTTCAGCTTTTTGCATGCTGTCATTTAGCCTTTGGCCCCTTAGCAGAGCGCTAGTCTATTTTTGGAGCTCGGGCCGTGGCAGGAGGAGCCAGAGATGAAGGAGTTGGAGTGGATGAGGGAGGGAGGGAGACGGCGTTTAGGTCCAATATGGCCTTCCCAGCACATCCACAGCATCTAACGCCTCGGGGTAGAGAAATGATTGGCTCAGAGTGTCTGGGTAAACACAGACTCCTGCACAGATAATGGTGCCAAATGCCGAATGCAATGAACACGTATGCCTTCACGTTCAGGAAGCTATTTGTTCATCTTGTAGCAAAATAAATCTCTTAATCTGATTACGGTGTTGATTTTGGGTGCTGATCTGTACATCCCTTCAAATATTTTGTGTTTTATATTAAGTCTGGAGTCAAAAACAAACTTAGACTGAAGTGGAGCGGCACACTGACAGTTGTGGCGTGGTAAGGAACACAACTCAAGCTGGAGTCTGTCTTCTCATGCTGTTTTCTGTCTGTATTTGATCACGTAATATCACGACTTAAAATTAGCGCGCTTCTCTTGCTTTCGGCTTTGTGCAGCTTACCTAAATAACACGGCAGCATAGAAGTCTTTATCTTGACTTTGTCTTGGCGTTAAAAAATGTGAAATTGATTTGTAGTTTTTCGCCTCTTTCCCCTCAGCTCCAACCTGGCCTGCACCGGTGGCGGCGGTGAGCCAGCCCAGTCTTCTGTCCCACACCTACGCCCTCCCTCAGCCGCCTTCTTTCAACCACAGCGTGACCGCGCAGTCGCCCATCATAGGAGTGACCCCATCCATCCAGACGCCGGTGCCCCCGCAACACCCCCTCATGACCGCCCACTTCCAGCTGACGCCGCAGTCGACCCAGCAGCCGCCCTCTATGGTGCTGAGCATGCCCAGCCAGCCTCCGTACGCCTCAGCCCAGCCGACGGTCACGCCGTCCGCCCTCACTGCCCAGGCCAACCCGGTGGTTCATCCAAACGCTCACAGCATGATTGGCAACGGCCACTTAACCTCTCACCCCAGCCTCATCCAGCCCCACACCCTGCCTCTCACCAACGGACAGGCGGCGGCAGCAGCAGCGCATGGCCAGCAGACATCTGCCGACAATCAGGACGGTCCCAACGGGCTGCAAATGCTGCGGACGGTTGGGAGCGGGAAGTACGAGTTCAGCGACCCCGGACATCCCAAAGGTAAGCAAGGGCACTCTAAAAACTCTAAAGACGATCTTTTCTTTATGTTTTTTAAAAAATATTCTAAATCCCTTTCTAAAACTTTGAAAGAGTACATCAAAGCAGATTTGTTTGGTCGCTCAGACGAATCCAAGCTAGGACGGTGGTATTTGGTATTAAATCGGCGTACTCTGGGCTCTCTGCTCCTCGTGACCTCCTGTTATTGTGGGGTGGCGCTGGAATGAAACGCCTAGGCCTCTGCCCTCGGTCTGTATGCCTGGGCTGTTTCAGATGCCAGCAGTCATAAACAAGGCTGCAAACACTCAAGCGAGGGTTGTTAATATACGACTTGCAACCGCAGCCAGTTCACTTCAAAGCTGATCCAAGGTCACCGAGAACATGGAAGCACCTCGAGCCAGCAGAGAGATCGGTGCTTCCCCAAAAAGATATATAAATATATATCCTGCAAGAAGGCCCTTTACTGTTATTCTCTGCAAAGTAGAAGGTATCTCTGCTCTAACACATCAGCATCTGTAGATTTGTGCTCTGCGTTTGTTTCCAAGTGTGTCGGGTTAATCTTTCTCACTGCTCCTAGCTGCACTGCAGAAGAGTCCTGCTAAACACGAGGCAGGAAGAGCTTTCAGTCCCTGCCCTCACATCTCCCTAGAAATCTTTTGAAGCCTTGTTGACTCGCGCCGTGTTTGTGAAGGTGCTTCACAGCTCCGGCTCGTGCCTGAGACTGCACGCCATAAATTGGTGTTTGCTTTAACCTTGGAGTTTATGACGCAGGGCGCTAGAAACAGATGTTCGCAATTCCCCGACCAATTTTCACATTTAATGAAGCTTTTAATTTAGGTTTAGATTGTTTTCTTTTTCCTGACTCATTTTGATCAATAAAATGTGTGCAAATGAACTTGTAGATTGCAAAAAAGCAATTATTTTGGGGGCTGCCTGTGATACATCGGAATGAGACTGCAGGTAGAATTGGAAATGGATAATTAGATGGGCTCGTTTGCTTGGTCCGGTCTCTATCGAATAAGAGCTTTTTAGCTTCTGCCGTGTTGAATAGACTGTCTCGATCCATTAAGCATTCACATGTCAAAACAGAGTCTCCTAACAGGCCAAAGAAGCTTAATTTTTTTGGCAATTATAGTGTTCGTACTGATCAGTTTTACAGGAAGGAAATGTGCTGCGAGGCTTTTTTGTTTAACCCAGCTGTGGAAGCACACACTGTTCCTGTGATTCACGTAATGATAAAGTTACTGTAATATATTCAGTTTGTGTGGGAACAGTTTTTGTCAGCTCCTCTGTTTCAAAGACAAAAGGGAAACATCCCAGTGTCAATTTGCAGACATCATACACTTTAAATCCTGTGCGGGCCTCTGTGAAGGTCAAACTGTAAATTGAGGCACTTGAATCTCACATCTCCTCAAGCATTTTGTCTGCTTTTTTTTTTAAGTCCCTGCCTGGCACCGAATAGATATTAGTAAGCATGTCATTGTGGTAATGTCACAAGGACAGTGAAATAGGTAAAGCGTTGAGCACCAGTAAATTAGCAGCCGTGACGTCTCTTCAGCAGACTCTCTCGGCTGACGAGGACACTTCACTTCGCTTCTGTAATCACAACAATGCCATCCCAACCACTCAGCGCCCACTGCGGCTGTTCTGTCTTTTTGATTATCTCTATCTGCCACTTCCCCTGTCCCTTTTCGTTCGCCTCCCTCCTTTTAGCATGCTCGAGAAGTCTCAAATTCCAGCCGCTCGTAGGTTTTGGGCTTTTCGTCAATTAACACCACGTATTAGCGTGGCAAGGACACCCACTGTCCTGCTGTAGCGGCATACTGTTAAAATATGGAGGGAAAACTCTCGTGACCTTCGTTCTGGCTTTCTTCTGTTGCAATTATCGAGGACCTGCTGTTAGCGTTTTCTGCTTAGGCGGAACACAAAATAGTAAATTAAGTAGTTTGTGGGAATCAAGGAAAGCAGCTTCAGGTTGGTATTCGGCAACTCTAATGGCTGTGGAAAGGATAAGAGTCACGCGTGTGTGCACGGCTATCAGCTTCTGCCCTGATTCCAGGGAAGGAAATGGTTCTTAAACAAACGCCTCCTTTTCCAGAAAAGCTGGGATGTTGTGTGAAATTGAATTAAAACACAATGCAGTCATTTGCAAACCCTAAAAAAGGGAACTTTAGATATACAGCGTGCATCCAGGAGAAGCATCCGGGGTAATAAGGCTATATTTTTTAAAGCTCACATTGATATAGAAGCTTGTGGTAAATTTTTGTAATGAATGACTCAATATGAAGTTTTGCATACAAAACACAAATGCTCAAGGTAGGGATGCACCGATACCACTTTTTTGGAAACGAGTACGAGTACTTGCATTTCAGTACTCGCCGATACCGAGTACTTAATAAAAACATGATTTAAATTTACAGGTAACAGCTTTAGTCCTATAATTTAACAAAAAACAAACAAACAAGGGACTAGTTTGGAATTAAGAACATTTATTTAAAATGAAAAGCATGTTGTATGCAACATATTACAGAATAAATAATTATAAAAAACAAAATTTAATTTTAAATTTGTTCGTCTGTTTCTCTGTTTAGAAGTCTCACTAGCACAGTCACAGCTGGGATGACATCAGAGGCTAGTGCGTCGTAGCTGCTCACTTTAGTTAGTTCCTCAAAGGGGGCGAGGATGGCAACAGTCGTCTCTATAAGAGCCCATTGGTGAGCGGTGAGATAGTCAGGGTAAATAAGCGTGGGTAAACTCTTTGTACTCGTTGTCGTGTTGGGATTTTGGTGCTTGATTAAATTACTTGTGTTAAATGTGCTACCTTTTGAGCCTCCTCTGGACAATTTCGCTGAGCACAATTTGCAGTCCGCCTTTGTTTTTGTGTCTTCGTTCACTTTGAAATAGTTCCACATGGCTGACTTGTCTCGCCTGCCCTTCTCCCCGCTCTGAGCTGCAGCCAGGGCCTGGGGGCGGGCACTCGGCGCCTGTGATTAACCCCTTACATGCCGCTCAAACATAGACAGGTCTCAGATCGTGGTATCGGTCCCCGGTATCGGGGGACTTTTAACGAGTACTTTAGAAAATGTGGTATCGAGGCCGATACCCGATACCAGTATCGGTATCGGTGCATCCCTAGCTCAAGGTGTCCCCCTCCAGACGCCCGGCATGTGTCCATACAATAGTCAAAGTTGTTGTGGGCAGATCGAACCAAATATCAACAGCATCAGTATTAACGCTGGTATCGGGATCAGATCATCACTTGCACGATAGGACTGATACTTTGTTGCTGTAAGTATCTGATAAGCGTGTGTGTGTTCACTGTGACTGGAAGTTGAACCAAACTCCTATAGATAGATACTTTATCCCACAAGGGAAACTTTTGTGTTACAGCAACATGACAAAGAGTAAAAAATAGTACAGTCACAACACAGTGACCCAGTTAAATAAAAGTGCCACAGGCACCCGGTAAGTGGCTTATGCTATTAGGGAGTGCAGGAATTTCTACATTAACAGCAGTGATAACAAAACAAAAGTAAAAATGAAGTTAGTTAAAAACAGTAAAAGTAAGACTCTTGTGTAAGAGAGGAGTTTCATACATAACTGTATGAAAAACAGTTGCATGAAGGTAAAATACAAAATGTGTTTGGGATCTTTTGCCTGACAGGTGTGTTCACCTGTCACAGAATAAAGAGTTATTATACAGCTTCATAGAGAACCGTAGCAATGAAAACCTGAAGCGTTCTTTAAGAGACGGACACATTTACAGTCGAAGTAAGTTTCAAAAACATGAAAATCTGAAACGTGTTTTGCTGTGTTAGCTCATTATTGTGGACAATGAGAATCTAACAATGATCTCATAAATCATAATTCACTGTTTCTGCCTACTTAAGCTTAAAAGTTTGGGTACTGGGATCAGCAATGCTGGGCCTGTATATACTTGGTATGGGATCGATACCAAAACATGTTTCCCTAAATCCTGCAAATATCCTTCAGCCTCGGTGGTGGAAGTTACCGAGGCCGTGAGCGCTACTGCACACCAGAACTAGCTGTTCTCTGATAACAACCTTCTTCTTTAGGCTGGAGGATGCCACATCTATAATTTATAAAGCAAATAAAACATTTTAACCGCTCACATTATTTCTGTTTTTATTTTCTCTTGTAACATTTTAGCTCGCATGTGTTTACTGATAATGTTTTTTGGAGGTTTTCCAGAACCCATGCAGTGATCCCTTCTATAACCTCATGTCTGTTTTTTTTTCTTGTTGTTTTTTTAAATGTTGTACTGGACAAATTTTAAAATAAATTCTCTGCTTGAACATTTGAATTGCAAATTATTACACTGCAGCTTTATTTAGATTTCAAAAAGCATCCCAGCATTTTTTGGAAATGGTTGTAGAAAAGCGCCGCAAATGTCAAAGCGTTCACGCAGACTTCAAATGAAATAATGCCACTTCCCCAAATTTACACATGGTCTTTACTTACTTTGTATTTTTTAAAAATGAATATTTATGACATTTATAAGAACTAACACACAACAAGTATGCTAATTCACTCATATTTGTTAAAGATCGTGGTAAAAATTTCAGCAAAGGAATTATAAATGAGGTTTCAGAACTTTCGCTGTTTGCCTGACACACGCAGAATTCGCTTTCCTGTCAGATGTTCAAAGAGTAACGTCATGCAAGCAAAGCACGCGTCAACCTGGGGAATATGTCCATTCTCATATTGAGAAACCACGCTGTGATCTGCGGTCCGATCCCCAGCTCAGCGTCTCACGTCTGCAGATTTTATAGATGAAATATTGAACACCCAGTTGAAATAGTAAAGCCACTACTTAAAAAGACTGCGTTGCTCTATTTTAAAGGAGTTTAAGCCTCCAGACACAATGCTGGTAAGCACTGATGTGCAGAAAAGGTTTTGTGGCTTTTTGATGGCAAAGGCCTGGATTGTGGAGGAGCTGACAGAGCTCTTCCTCCTTAATCCAGCTTCACAACAGGCCTTAT